GGACTTGAACGATCGGGGAAATAATCTTTGTAGAGAAGTCCTATACGAAGACATAGGGGAGATGTTTTAGAAGAGGCAACATATGTAGAAATGCACTTCAGAATGAAAGGTTGGTTAGAGCAACTCAATCAAATGCACCATATGTGACCGATCATTATAACAACTGCTATTATGATGAACAACACACAAAATGGTACTCTAGTAGAGTCGTCATATGCATTTGGATCGCTATAATTTATGAAGCACGCTCTCGATATGAGCACGTAGCCAACTTCACCTTCTTCCACCTCTCTCCTCCTATCCGCTTTCCGTGGCACAGCCGCCCACACAACTTACATGGGCATAGTAAACCATCGACGATGAACTACCCATCATTGGCGCACCCAGCCCATGGATTTTTGCTGGTGAGCCCTCTGAAGTCCACCATGTGGCATCATCTCCCGTCGTGCCACCCACCATTCCCAGCTATAAATGCAAGGCACACCTCACACCCAGCCAACCCTAACCCCACCATCATCTCCTCCCCTCTCAGTGACAATCCCACCACCACAATGTCGCCCCATGACCTATTGGTCGAACCTGCTCGACGATAACAATTTGTTGTCCCTGATGCCGCATGCGAGCGACATTATCTCTCCCCACGCCGCACTGGTCGTGTCCACTGGAGCATCCTCCTCCCGCCGTCGTTCCTGTGGCGTTGGCGGCTCCAATGACGGTTGCGTTGGATTACGTGCCATCTTCCTTGTGGATGAGCCTGTTCCCGTCGTGATGGTCCCCCACCTGCAACGCGCCACTATAGGACTCCGCCTTGCCCCTGTCCTCCCGTCCACGACGAGCCCGTGTCCGAGGACCCAATCGGGTTGGGTCCTACTCGAGCTCTCTGCCTGTAAAGCAGAGGAACACCGCGGCCACCACTGAGCTAGAGGAGAAACAACAGATTGAGCTTGTTGCTCCTTTGAAGAGGCCAAGTGCAAGCGCAAGATCGACCACCGTTTAGCTCTTCGCTTGATGCTCAACCATCTCGATGATGAGGACTAGACAACATCAAATAGTAGATACTCCCTCCGTAACATAATATAAGACGTTTCATGTCTTATAGTATTATGTTACAGAGGGAGTAGCTAGCAGTGTTGAATAGCGACATTGTCCAAGCTTAGTATTTTGCCAATGATGTTTAATGATATTTTTAGTCATGGATTGTATGCAAATGCAATGAATTTTGGCCCATATTATAAGAACAAACAATTTCGAATTAAGGTTCGGTGTTTGATTTATTTTGGTTCACAGTTTGAATGGCTAAAATTAAAACAAGGCATTTCAACAAACGCAAATGGAGTGTGCAGTTTCATGTGCATAGGTTCCTCCGTCTCTAAAAAATTATAGAACACTCTTCATATGACTTTTGACGACCCTGCGAAAGTGCTCGTATGTAACGCCCTCGATGCGGCTATAGCTCCCACGTGTCGAGGCACGACTTAGAGACATAACCGCATTGAAAGCAATGTCGCAAGTCAGGCAATCATTACAACACCCCATGTAATACATAATAAAAGGGGGAGATAACATAGTTGGCTTACACTCGCCACGTCACACCAGAGTACATAAATAACATCCATCAAACAAACACTCATGGCCCGACTACGGTGCCAAAATAGAAAATAACCCAACGTGCGACAAGGCCCTGAATCGATCCCCAACTAGGCACCACTACTGATCATCGGGAAAGGAAACATAATAACGCTGAGAGTCCTCGTCGAACTCCCACTTGAGCTCGTACTCGTCACCTGGAGCGAAATCACCTGGACCTGCATCTGGAGTTATAGTATCTGTGAGCCACAGGGACTCAGCAATCTCACACCCTCGCGATCAAAACTATTTAAGCTTATAGGAATGGATAAGGCAAATATATGTGGAGCTGCAGCAAGCGACTAGCATATGTGGTGGCTAACTTATCCGCAAAAGAGAGCGAGAAGAGGAGGCAAGGCGTGAGCGAGAATCTAGAGGAACAACCTGCGCAAGCATAACTCCAACACCGTGTCCACTTCCCGGACTCCGCCGAGAAGAGGCCATCACGGCAACACACTCAGTTAATTCATTTTAATTAATTAAGGTTTTAGTTATCTACAACCGGACATTAACAAATTCCCATCTGCCCATAACCGCGGGCACGGCTTTCGAAAGTTCAATCCCTGCAGGGGGTCCCAACTTAGCCCATGACAAGCTCTCACGGTCAACGAAGGAATAGCCCTCCACCCGAGACACACCGATCAGACTCGGCAACCCGGTACAACAAGACAATTCGACAGGTTAAAACAAGACCAGCAACACCGCCCGAATGTGCCGACAAATCCCGATAGGAGCTGCACATATCTCTTTCTCAGGGCACACTCAGATGAGCGCTCCATACAACTAAAACCAAACCTCGAGTTTCCCCGAGGGGGCGCTGCATAGGACTCTAGTTTGAACCAACGCTCAGAGGAGCACTGGCCCGGGGGGGGGGTTAAAATAAGATGACCTTCGGGCTCCGGAAACCAAAGGGAAAAAGAGGCTAGGTGGCAAATGGTAAAACCAATGTTGGGCATTGCTGGAAAAGCTTTAATCAAGGCGAACTATCAAGGGGTTCCCATTATAGCCCAACCGCGTAAGGGACGCAACAATCCAGGAACATAACACCGATATGACGGAAACTAGGGCGGCAAGAGTGGAACAAAACACTAGGCGAGAGGCCGAGCCTTCCACCCTTTACCAGGTATATAGATGCATTACGATAACATAGCAATATAATGATATCCCAACAAGGAAAATAAATGTTCCAACAAGGAATAGCTCCAATCTTCACCTGCAACTAACAACGTTATAAGAAGGGCTGAGCAAAGCGGTAACATAGCCAATCAACGGTTTGCTAGGACAATGGTGGGTTAGAGGTTCAACATGGCAATTGGGAGGCTGACAAGCAAAAGGTAGGCATCGTAGCAGTGGCAAAGCAAAAGAGCGAGCAAACTAGCATAGCAAAGATAGTAGTGA